CAATGAATTAATTAATGAAAACTCCTTAAAAAAGCCAATAAGCATTATCGTTGACTATCTCCAATATTTGTTATCTACCACTCGAATTATTATTAAATATAGCTGTGTAGGTCTCGGCATAGAATAGGCCACTATTTCTTTTCTCGTGGGTGTCGAAAGAGGCGACTTAGGGAACTTATCGTGGAGGGATGGTCAGCAGCGCCCCTGTTAAAACACCAAAAGCCAAACTGTGGTTGCCAACCCGTCAGCCAAACGTGGCAATTACTGGTAAAATCCCTCTCATGGGGGAGACTATATTCAGCAGTGATGGACGGCTGATACAAATACTCGAATTACAATTATGTACACATAATATTTATTTAATTTCAATTTCAGGAAAAAATAAACGTAATATTTTTTTCAATTAAAAGAGAAAAAAAAAGTCAGGAAGCTAGTAGCAGCCGCTATCGTAGAAAAAATAATTGCTTTATCTATACCCTTACCAAGGAAAATATTTTTACAGCTATACTACTGATTCATACTTTATTTAGTTCAAACAAGACAATTCTGCAAAGTGTAACGGTACTAATAATTTCGAGTGTAGTATCCAATTTATTTGTAGAAAAATTTTTGTTTTTAAAAAAATTCTTAAATTTTAACTATATCCGTAGACATTGGACGAATATGAAAGTAAATACTTTCAATAAATATCTATCAAAATGTATTCAGAATTTAAGATTTCTTCTAACATATACGAAAAAAAAAACGAAATAAATCTAGCACTCCTCATTTTGAAACTTAGTTAAAAATAAATATATTTTACTTAATATCTTTTAAATAAACTTGTATAACAAGTGAAATTTTTCATCACATTTATCGCGATGGCATGTCAAATGTCTGATGTTTAATTTGACCGCACTCGCTAACAATAAAATCTGATATTTGATACTTTTGAAATGATAAAGGTGTCACGGAACTTTTTAATTGGATCTACACTGTATATTTTACTTTTCTTAACTATTCTTATAACAGACACTTACTTACTTAGTATTCACATTTTTGTTACAAGTTTTAATTTAAAATCATAATTGATTAAAATACACCATTTAGAAACTGAGTTCAGGGGTTGTGCTTTTATACAAGCTAAAGATGTGTCTATAATGGTATGGTAGACTTTGTTCAAAAGTCGTTTGCTTAGGTACCTCTGTGCCGTTCGTGTTTCAATCTTGAAGCAGTTGTGTTTGCATGGCTGTGTTTCGGTCTGAAGGATGGGATGGGATATTCTGTTATATCCATAGTATTGCTCATGTCTATAGACGACGGTTACCACTTTCCATCAGGTGGGCCGTTAGCTTGTTTGCCATTCTCAGTTGCATAAAAAATAAATTAAAAAAATACTACTTATTGCATCAGTTAATAAGCATAAGTTGGTAAACATTAAGCACAAAGCTGCGGGCAACATCAATAAAAACGATGCGGAAAAAGCCACGGGTAGTTTTTAGTATTAATATTAATAATCGTACAGCAAGTGACAAATTGCCACCATCACTATAGTACCTCAATATGGTTACGGCCATCGTTAAATCTTTCTGTGAACGAACATTCGAACGAATGAATCTTGACGAGTGACAAATGAGCATGTAGTTCTCACTCATTCGCGAAAACTATTCGAGATGTGGTGACATATGATGATCATTTCATGTTATAGTCAGAGATCCGACGATAGTATTATACTACTATGTGATAAGAGTCAATAAATAAATTAATGGAAATCCATACTTTTCTTTCTTACTTTATCTTTGTTGTTATATGTATGCTGAAGATAACTAATAAATCGTTTATTTTTGTTTTTTATTTGTTTACCTTCATTTGTTTTTGTTTTTTTGCTATTTTATTATTTTATTTGTTTTATTTTTGATGAATTTATTTCTTATTTTTTATGACAGTATCAAATATTTATTCAGATTATGTAGAGCATAACTCCTGAATACTTGTGTTTAATTTTCATTACATTATACTCATTTTTCTATTTGGATAAAAATGATATTTTAAGGTGAAATCACAATTAATGTAGTTTGATTCAAAATTGTATTAGAATGTTGATATAAGATAACCGTGTGGTCTCGGAAAAGAATGGGCCATCACTTTCTTTTCTGTAGATGTCATAAGAGGGGTTTAAGGGAGGGCGATGGATGGAGAGCAGCATTCTTCTTAAAACATCACCGAAGTCTAACTGAGGTTGCCAACTTGTCTGCCAAGCATAACGATTACCGGCAAAACCCCCCAATAGGTGAAGGCCTATGTTCAGCAGTGGGCAATTGACGGCTGATATGGTATGGTATTTTTTTTTTACAACACAGGTGGCAAACGAGCATGCGGCTCACCTGATGGTAAGTGACTACCGCCGCCCATGGTCACCCACAACACCTACGGCATTGCAGGTGTGCTGCCGGCCTTTTAAAAAGGAATATGCTCTTTTCTTGAAGGTTATGTTGTCGTATCGGTTCGGAAATACTGCTGCTGAAGTTGATTCCAAAGAGTGGTTGTGCATGGGAGAAAGTGCCTTGAAAAACGCACGGTGGAGGACCGCCACTCGTCCAGATGGTTGGGATGAAATTTTAGTTTATGGAGGGTTGTACTATGGTGAAAATCTGCAGCAGGTATCAATCCGAACATTTCTTCAGAGCACTCCCCATGATAAATTACAAAGAAACTCAATTAAGTTATCGAATATAGACCACCATCTCCCCGACTATAAATTGTACGTGATTATTTCACGAGAACCAATCGTTATTCATCCGGGATGGCGTAATTAATAATGAGTTATTTTTATTGTTCCGCTGATGAGGGCCGGCAAATATGCTATAATCAGCTTTTTGCTTTATGTTATTATTTGTGAAATATTGTTTGCCTTAATTAATAGTGCCGTGTTATGCATTAGCAATATATTTACTTTAGGTGGTCTCGCCTTCTCATATTTCATTCGGACATTTAGGGCCGAATTCTGGCAAATCGAAGTGTAATTATATACAAATGACACCAGAAAATGGTATTAGTAAGGCTAATTAGTAGCATAGTGAATAAGAGTAGTTTGTCTTCATACTGGAAGTAGTGAACGTAGCTTATAAGTGTGCGTGCCAGTACAGACGCAACGTTACGTACACACTATTATAAAATTTAATGTATATAATACTAAATTAATGTGTAGTCCCGAAATAGAAAATAGAAAAAAAAATTTTTATATATATATATATATATATATATATATAATATATATATATATATATATATATGTATTAAAACCAAAATTAAGCGACGTTTCCTTCTGTTGTGACAAAATCTGCAAACATTTTTTGGGCATAAGCTTTATTTTTATTTATTTAAATTGTGATACATAGGTAATAATGGATGGTAAAACAAGATAAGTCCTCTATGATTAACCCCATCTATCGAGGTATACAAATTTGCAATTATATAACAAAAAAATTTTGAGCCATATGTTCTTCATGTAGAAGGAGACCCTTTGTCAGACACACAATAAATTAATATAAATTTATCACGATATTTTGTCTATTGTGTGTGTACTGACAAAGTTGCCACTCTTGGCAGCTGGGTCTCACTTAGGCTTTGATGTTTTAAGAGTAATATTTTAAATACATCCTGAAAAGGAAGGGGTAGCCTATTCTATTTGAATGAATGAATGAATGAATAAAACCATAACACTGGCTCAAAATATATATATATATATATATATATATATATATATATATATATATATATATATATATATATATATATATATATATAATTTATATAGTATATATATATATATATATATATATATATATATATATATATATATATATTTGTTATATATTTTGTTATGTATTTGTTGTATATTTGTATACCTCGATAGATGGGGTTAATCATAGAGGACTTATCTTGTTTTACCATCCATTGTTACCTATGTATCACAATTTAAATAAATAAAAATAAAGCTTATGCCCAAAAAATGTTTGCAGATTTTGTCACAACGAGAAGGAAACGTCGTACTTAATTTGTGGCAGTAGCCCACTCATACATAAACGATATATTTCCTTTGGAAAACGCATTTTATATCCTGAGGATGTGAAAAACCTCGCTACAAAAAACATCTTAAAATTCCTATCATTGATAGGAATTTAGCAGCGAACTTTAAAAAAAGGTCGCGCTCAAAATATCATTGAAAGCTCGCAGTGTCACAGATTTTTCTTCCTGCAAAAAGTTCGTCTTTTAATAATAATAAAATCTGATATTTATAGCTAGGTTAGGTTATAATTTAATAACTACCGGTTTAACTTACGTGTAATTAGATCGAGGAAGCTCGCCTAATTTTAGGATCAGTTCGTGACCCTTAATCATGAGCGGTAGTGACGCAAACACGATCCTAAAACTAGTCAAGCTTTCTCGATGTGATCACACGTAAGTTAAACCGGAAGTCATTACATTAAAATATAATGTATGCCTACGAAACTTTTAACAAGGTCATTCTTTTTTTTTTCATTTATGGGTTTCCTCTTGTCGGTGCATTTTCCTCAAGCTAGCTCTATACCATGCTATATCTTGGACCTTCCTATATGACATGACACCTAGTGTTTCCTTCATCTGTCTCATATAGTTACAAGGTCATTATTGTTCATAAAATGGTGAACAAATTACCAGAGGGAGACTTTGTACAAAAGTCGATTGCTTGGGTACCTCTGTCCCATTCGTGTTTCAACCGTGAAGCAGTTGTGTTTGCATGGCTGTGTTTCGGTTTGAAGGGTGGGATATGGCGTGAATTTACAGGGTACAGAGAAATAACACCTGAATCCTCAGGAATGGCAACGCATGAGGGGTATCATGGGCGAAAGAGTATACTCTGTTATGTCCATGGTACTGCTCATGTCTATAGGCGACGGTTACCACTTTCCATCAGGTGGGCCGTCAGCTTGTTTGCCATTCTAAGTTGTATAAAAAATAAATAAATAAAACAAACACAGTACCCGTCATAAAAACCATCGATATATTTACAGACCTGTCGATTATATACATATTTACATAGTGACAATCTTAATGTTTATAATTGATTAATAACTACATACATACATCACTTTGGAATCAACTCCATCGAGAGAGATCAACATTTTAACGCCAGAAATAAAGTTAGATATGTAAACATTAACACTAATTAACACAAGCATTAAAGGACTATTCATATTACAACGGACTGAGAACAGACGGAGAATGAGTGAGAAAGCGCGGAGAACGGGGAGAGAACTAACGGAGAACGGACCGATAAATTGAGTACAATATTAAATAATAAAAATGTATAACTTAGTTTTGTACTGTACACTATAATTTTATATAGGTACATTAGTGTAGTGACGGGATATATATCAGAAAAGATAATACTATAGTAGTAGGAAATTTCGAATTAAACGCTGTAATATCTAGTCGTCTATTATAAATGGTAATAGGCGATCGTACTATTCTTGCATATGTACAGACCCGTAAGCAACAGTAATGGGATTAATGTCCCATATACACGAGTATCTATACAGTTTACATACTTTAACAGCCAAACACTATTGTTTCCGTCGGCATTAAATAAAGACATAGTCTGCGTCTCTTGTCTTTTTACTTACGGCTTAATCTCGTTCTTTACTAGTTGTAATATGAATAGTCCCTTATCAGATATTATATAATAAGCAAAAGTGGGTCCCGTTGAAACGTTTAAAACTCTGGTCCGATACCTTCCATAACACTGTTTCGAAAATGCATAACACTAAAATTAAACATTAAATATTTTAATAATCAATTTGATTGACAAATAATAACATATTATCAATAATGAAGTTACTTAATTTTTAATATTATTATTTATTTACGATGTATACAATTCTATTATTATTAGAATAGGTATCTACAGTTGTGCAACGAAAAACAATTAATCGACTCATGTATCCATTAAATTCATACGATTTCGTATAATTTTGTTTTTAAATAAACAGCACGAATATCGGTTACGTAAGTTAGTACTTTATTAATAATAAAAAAGTGATTTATCACTTTAATTTTTTACTTAATTTTAATTTAGAACAAATTTAAATTATTAAAAAAAATAGAAAAAAAAGTATTATTTGATAAGAATTAATAATTCCTAGTCATTTATCATGTTGGACATTTTTCCGAGCCTGTGCTTTTGTCAAAATGTTATCATGTGATTTAATTTACTTTTTAGTATATACATAAATAACAAACAAGACAAGATTTCAATATTAGTAGAATTTTTAAGACTTTTTAATATATAATAATACATATTAGTCATATATACAAAACATATATACATATTCATTAATTATACAATGAAGAATTTTAAGGAATAATAATATAAATAACAAAGTCGTAATGAGACGACACAGTAGTAGTGAACTTAACTAGATGTAGCAAATGTGTTAATTCATTTTTAACTTAACAATTCAATACAATTTTTATTATTAAAATTATGTAGCTGGTTGATTTTGAAGAAATAATGTCATAAAATGTTTAAAGGACATTATTAAGGGTAATATTTTTTGACAGGATTCAGTACGGGAGAGACTTGTTATCGATAAGAAGCTTTGTAATATTACAACAAGTAATTTAGTGGGGACACGTTTAATTTTCACTCGAAAAACTGCGTCATCTATCCCTATCTATGTCTATGGTGAGGGCATTTATTTACAATAGAAGACGATCAGTATGCTGAACCTCAAAATAATCTGTTCTGAATAATTTACTGGGACAATTCAATTGTCTGAATAACTGAAGTCTTCTTATTTATTTTTTAATATTTTTTAAATTAAAAATTTAATTTAAATGCTATACAAGTTAACGGCCCACTTGATGGAAAATGGTGGTAACCGTCGCCTATAAACATGAACAGTACCATGGACATAACAGAGTATACTATGTCACTAACGATATTCCTCATGCTTTGCTTTTTATTCCCCAGGTGTTATTCCTCTGTACCATGTAAATTCACAGCCATATCCCATCCTTCAAACCGAAACACAGCCATGCAAACATAACTGTTTCACAGCATAAATACAAATGGGATAAAGATACCCAAGCAAACGACGTCTATACACGATCTCTTGTTTGATAAAACTGGCAATAAATGTAAAACGTTTTTAGAACTAATAATCTTTGTTTCACGACTTTGTTGATATAGATTGTGCCATTGTGTGGACAAAATGAAGCTGTCACATCCACAACTCTGTTTAATACGAGTATAATACATACGCTTTGCACTGACATAGTGTAACATATTATATTATAATGCCGTACCGAAATGTACTTAACTAAAACCTGTTACCGTAACAAGACAATTCCGTAAACATGGGGGTGTGCCGACTCATATTTGAATTGGAAACTAGCTGAATTCCTTTTGTTATATTCAAAAGCGTCACAAGTTCGAGCCTCGCCTCGTCGTATGTAATGGTGCAAATACTTCAAACATAGCGGGAATGTGGAGCAACTGTGATTATGCATACATTTCATACTTAGAATATTTACGTTTATTAATTTGTTATTGTAATTTTCAATTCGGTTGTTATTATTATTGTTGTGGATGGATATTGTTTGTTTCATAGGTTCGTTGGTACAGTTTTAATTTTTTTTTTTCTTTAATCTTAATAAGTACTAACATTAGTCTTGTATCCTTATTTAATTAATACATAAAATTTGCGCGCCTACAATTTTAAGGAAATTAAACAGATACCAGAAAGTTCTATCACATGGCCTTTATTATGTTTTATAACGTCTGTTTAAAGCAAATAAATATTTCAATTCATTTCATTTCATTTACAATAATACTATTTAGGGAAAAATTTTTGTTAGTAATGGGTTCTAACTCTCCCCTTATTAGCAATATACCCTATCAGGTCGACTTCCACACAGTTCCCGCTGGAAACTATCCTGGTTGTTAATTGTTGAATTCGTCATAATGAGTATCTACTTCTGCAAATCAAGTAATCGTTAATTTTATAAATTTTTAATGATTTTATAAATGGTCGCGTACAACGCGGTTTCAGAAATGTTTTCTCCCACGAACACTCAGGTTGTGGAATGAGCTCCCTGCCGAGGTTTTCCCAAGAGACTACAGCATGGAGTTCTTCAAAAAGGGGGTAAAGAGGTTTCCTCAGAGTCGGCAACGCGCGTGTAATAGCTCTGGTATTGCAGACGTTCATAAGCGACGGTAACCGCTCACCATCAGGTGGGCCGTATGCTTGTTTGTCACCTCAGTGGTATAAAAATAAAATTATAAAAATATTCACAAAAGACTATTCAATAAAATATTTCATAAATACATATAGAATTTACAAACTCATTCAACAATACATTTCTTACTGCGGAAAATAAATATTATAGAAATTGAAGGCAAATTAATGTTTAATGAAACCTACTTGGTTTACCTACCTACTTGGTAATACATACTTTGTATATAACTCAGTACGTATAAATACGCGGGCATTTTGCAATGCCCGATCCAATAACAAAACAATTCAGTTATCACTGGAACAGTGTATACCAGGGGTGGCCAATCGATCGCGATCGACCGGTCGATTGCGACTGTTAGTCCAGTCGACCGTGGCAAGGCAAAAAATATATTTTGCTAGTCTAGCGGTAGATGCTCAGACGCAATGCTCACACTAATATAAATAAGTAGTAACTAGGAATAATTTTCAGTTTGATGTTTTCCGTCTTAATAAAAAAAAAAAAAATACTACAATACTACATAATTGTGTACTGAATTATGTTATTTTATTTGTGATTTCAAGAAGTATATAATTAGTGGATCGCACAGGATTTCGTCAGTAGATCTCGAGTCTAGTCAAATCGGCCACCTCTGATCTATACTAATAAAAATTAAGACTGTATTCCTTAAAAGAAGCCGATTTCAATTTCTTATAGACTATACCAGTAGACTCCATTTGTAACAATATACTCAGGCAGGTTCACCTCCACGCTGTACCCTCTGGGAACTATCGTGGTTACCTTGATGAATTCATCAGAGACTGCTTTCGTCCTCATCTGTCATCCCTCACTGGCGCCCCGCCAATGAATGCTATTAGAGCTGGGATTACAATAACATTATGCTCCTTTTTAAAAAAAAAAATCTTCATACCAAATATTGATAACAATAATAATGGAATGAAACAAAATAATCCTAAACAAATAAACAGACTAGACTTCCGCAAAATAACACAATTAAGTATACAATTTAAAAAGTATATTTCCTAACATGATTCTGAGTGAACAAGGGACCAATCGTTCACAGCATAACCTATCAATGCGCCACGGAAGCTATGATAAATGGCTATCAATTTTCTATACCTCAATCATTATAGCACTTGTTGCGTACCGCCCGTCCCCAATAAAATATTCTTGACAAGTTTATCAACTGTCTAAAGCTGGTCTATCTATAGCTAAAGTACCTTCCATGATTATAGATTCGAAAAGATAAACTTTTCCTGTTTCCATAAATATAGTATTAAACACAATTTTATTCACTGATATTAGATGATTACTGACATAATAAAGTCCAAAATAAAAAACAGTCAGTGTCGTGCGTAGAAACTCTCAGTGTGATAATAATGATAAGTGTCATGCAATTACATCCATCACCTGGTTCTTAAGCTGGGATACCAAGTGTTTTAAGGAACTAGGCGAGAAACATTCTAGGGCACACCCAGAACATCACACACAGTCTTTGCAAGAAGAAATTTAGTTGTTCTTTCTTAGTTGTATTCCCTACATATTCCTAGGTATCCAACTCTTATACTCATCTCTTTGATTTAAACTATCTAACTCCACACTTTAGAAGTGACAGATTTATCTTGCCTAATGGTAGTAAGTCCTCAGTAACAAAGTTTCTCATTCACTTATTGACTGCAGCGTAATAAAGGAATATAATATTGGAATAGCTAGATATATAACTCTAGCTAGTAACTCAAACCACAGTATAGATCAAGAACGACCATTTACATATACGAAAATATATAATAAAAATGAATACAATCCAACGGTTACTATATACATATTAAATTGTATATTCAAACGTCTACATATCAGTCTGCTGTGTAAATTTTATCTACAATATAGATATATATTTTTACTATGTCGGTTCCTCCACTTCACTTATAGTTTGTAACTGACTTATTTCAAGTTCACTTTTTAGGGTTGTCGTCGATGATGTCATTGGTACAAGATCTTCATCAATTGTGGTCAATTGGGAGTACTCCGTTTTAGGGAAAAGACTGCGATGTTTGCGTTTCTTTGACTTTAACTGTGAACAAAAATAACTGATTAATATGTTAGATATATAAATAGATAGGTAGATACCAGAGGGAGACTTTGTACAAAAGTCGATTACTTGGGTACCTCTGTCCCGTTTGTGTTTCAACCGTGAAGCAGTTGTGTTTACATAGCTGTGTTTCGGTTTGAAGGGTGGGATATGGCGTGAATTTACTGGGTACAGAGTAATAACACCTGAGTCCTCAGGAATGGCAACGCATGGGGGGTATCATGGGCTAAACAGTATACTCTGTTATGTCCATGGTACTGCTTATGTCTATAGGCGACGGTTACCACTTTCCATCAGGTGGGCCGTCAGCTTGTTTGCCATTCTAAGTTGTATATAAAAAAAAAGATACTCTTTATTCTTTCCTCAAAAATATTACAGTAATAAGTTTATTATAATTACAAACAATTACAAGAAATCATCACACTTGTAGTTCCAATCATATGTTGAATGAATGAATGAAACCATGAATCTGCTTGTATTAATTAGGTGAGGATTGAACCGGAATCAACCGGATGGTGTGGCATGAACAGCACTATGGATATTCCAGAATATACTGCGGCACCCGTATTATCTCATTCATTGCTAGAGGACTAAGATAACGTAAAGTATAGGGATGGGTAGTATATAGGAATATCTACCTTCAAGGTGCCAACCACGTAAAGGTCGACCTTCACGTGGTTGGTACCATGGAAATCATTGCAGTTAATTCTTATAGAATGCATCACGATAGGCCAAATGACCTGCTTTTATCCTCACCAATCATCCCTCGCTGATGTTCTGCTAGCGTATACCGATAATATCCGCAAGCAAGATCATCATCCCAAGTTTACTCATTTAAAAAAAAAAACACCACGGTTGTCACAGTATATTCTATAGTTCTGTTCATGTCATTAGTAAAAGTTGTTACTATCCTTAAAGTGAATCATTTACATATTTACCGTTCCAAGTCGAATATAAAAAATATATAAACATAAATAACTGTATATTTTTGGTTTGTGTTCATCGCGTTTATTATTATTATACATGACATTATTAGAACTAAACGCATTACTGTACGATTTGTACGCAAACTACGTTTATACACGCAACTGGGGGCCCCATATGAAAATTATTGTTACGAATACAAAATATATTATACCTGATGGAAGTAAGTACATATAACGCTGAATTATATGGTATTTAAGAAGCACATTGTATTTCACAATAAAAAAGCAACATTTTATGTATATATATATATATATATAACTCCATATTTAGAACTAACAGAATTTTTCAATCGTGCCTTCCACCAAATTGTTTACATTTACTCTCCATCCAAAGGTTGTCTGGAAGAGATCGCTTTTAGCGATAAGGTCGCCCATTGTTTTCTCATTGTGATTATTTCTTGTAATTGTTTATATTTATAATAAGTTTACTATTGCAATCTTTTGGAGGAAACAATAAAGAGTATCTATTCATCTATCTATCTATATATTATATGATGTTGCCTAAGAACAAGCAGGATTTTATAACCAACTTGTTTTTACCGTCGACTTTGTCCACATAACCGGAATATGTTTATTGACTACGATAGCAAGTAGCCTATATCCTTCACCATCACATATAGTACGTGTATACCAAATTTCATAGTGATTTCCTGTGCCATTAAGGTGCTATAAGGTAACAAACAATCAAACTCATTTTACCAGGTGGAGACTGTAGTCGTTTGCTTGGGCATCTCTGTCCCATTTATGTTTCAATCGTAAAGCAGTTTTGTTGTGTTTTAGTTTGAAGGGCAGTGAATTTACAGAGTACAGATAAATAATACCTGAGCCCTCAGGAATGACAACAGATGGGGAGTATCATGGGCAAAACGGTGTGCTGTGTTATGTCCAGGGTACTGCTCATGTCTATAGACGACGGTTACCAGTTTCCATCAGGTGGGCCGTCAGCTTGTATTAATACTATCAATATATAATAATTACTATAAATATAACGTATAGTTTTTAATATAAGATCACCCTTACTAATTAGGGTTGATCCTACATTAAAAGCTATAAAATTAACTGAACTAACATTTAAAAATCCTTACAAGGCAAAAATCCTTTTACTACATGGCAGTTTTGCTTACATTTTTTTCCTTTTTCAACCGATTTCTTAAAAAACAAGATTTCGAATTTGGTTGTATTTTTTTTATGTTTATTACCTAATAATTCCGTCACTTATAAATATAATTGGAAAATTATTTTTTTATCTGACAAAATATACTTACAGATTGATTACATAGAAATTTTATCTAAATCGGTCCAGTAAAATTAGTTTTTATATCAAAATACTCAGTTTTTTTTTTAAACACAATCTCACAATCTTATAATTTTATTCATTATATATTTATTTAAGAAACTTATTAAAATAATCATGCAATACAGTATGAACTAAATTCAAAATATGTATGTATATAGGTGTATATTCTTACTGCGAAAAGATTCTAATGTAATCTCATTTAATATTCACTTGGAAATGGAGATGAAAGATACACAAACTTGCAAGTACAAGTCAAGTGCAAATTAAAAACTTGGAAAATAAAAAAACGGCCAGCATTCAGCAAAAGGGAGTCTCGAAATAAGAACGTTAAAAAATAAAAAGGAACGCAACGAAGTTTCTTCGATGGTCAAAAAGGAAGTCTCAATTCAACAGCTTTTTTGTGTGTAACATACACGATATATATTAGCTAATTCCAAATCGATTTTGATAATTATTTTCGCAAATTAATGTTTATTTGAGAACTAATCTTATACCCATTAACATTGTCATAATTAAAATATTTGTTTATTCTTTTACACAGCAAAATTTTGTGTACAATGATTCCTTTTTAAATTGATGGGATCCTTTATCCCATCAATTTAAATTGATGGGATAAAGGGTTTTTCTGAAAAAATATTACTAACAAGGTGAATAATAAACCCGTTTATTATCAGAAGAACCGTATATTTGGATACCATATGAAAATAAAAGATAACTATCAAAGTTCATGGAAAAGAAGAATATGATAGAAATATAAAAATCGCGGAGCTATCTCCTGTATAAATTTATTTCAATAGAACTTTATGAAAATGTAAAGAAACAAATCATTACCCCAACCATAAGACAGTTTGCTGATGTCCAACAAGTAGTACAAATCAAAAGTCAATTAATTATGTGGTTTCAAGTGGTTACGAACTTCATCTATAATTTCAATAAAACTTAATTACTTTTTTTATGCAACTTACCGTACACATAACAGAGTGTAACATAACAGTACCATAGACATAAAAAAGTATACTGTTATACCCATAGGTTCCATGATATACTCAGATGGTATATCTCTTTACCCTGTAAATTCATTGCTATATTCCACCCTTCAAACCCTTCAAACAGCCATGCAAACATAACTGCTTCGCGGTAGAAACATCAATGAAACAGAGGTGCCCAAGTAATCGACTTTTGCACAAAGTCTCCCTCTTGTACTTATTTATTAAAACTTTAGTTGAATTAAATCTATAGCTTATAATGCAAATGAAATCGATAAAAATGTTCTATAAATCCATACTGATATAATAAATGTGAAAATGAGTTTGTTTATTTGTTACTTATAACATCTTAACGGCTTAACTAATCACTGTGAAATTTATACACCAGTCCATAAATAACCAGTTATTCCGGTCACTGGTTATTTGATAAGAATTATTTTCGGCAATTTTTGTGCAGAAGGGTTAGCACTAGCTTCCGAACAGCGATCTAATAATTTAGCTAAAGATGTCTCGTTTAGAGGTGAAATACGTGTCGCTAAACGTGCGTGAACAAAATGGCAATCGGAGATTGATGCCTAATACGGTTGTGGAACTTCTGTTAGTAATAGTGGTGATCAATCTTCGAAAGTTAGCTGTCACACACATACTAATGGTAGTGGAATTAAATATAATAATTATAATCATAAAACCAGTGATGTGGACTTCCGCAAGATAACACATAGTTCATTAATATATATATATATTTATTTATACAACTTATGGCAAACAAGCTGACGGCCCACTTGATGGAAAGTGGTAACCGTCGCCTATAGACATGAGCAGTAGCATTCCTGAGTACTCAGGTGTTATACCTCTGTACCTAGTAAATTCACGCTATATCCCACTCTTCAAACCGAAACACAGCCATGCAAACATAACTGCTTCACGGTTGAAACACGAATAGGACAGAGGTACGCAAGCAATCGACTTTTGTATAAAGTCTCCCTCTGGTAGAGTAATTAAATAGTGTAATAGTAGTAGGTAGTGGAATTAAATATAATAATTATAATCATAAAACCAGTGATGTGGACATCCGCAAGATAACACCTAGTTCATTAAAATTAATCCCGGTCACGTGGACGAAGTCACGGCTAAAAACTAGCTAGCACATAAATAATGAAGTCAAATACCTTTATAACGACAGCTATAGCTATAACAGCGAGTACCGTGGAGCCGACACTCCACACAGCCAACAAATTACGGTCCAAGATATTCGAGGACTCAGTGGAGTCGTCGACAAAAAACGACGCAGTTATATGTGTGCGAATGTTTTCAGCGATACGACGCTTTCCAGCCGACGAGCCGTTTAGACAGCCCCCTGCGAAAAAAGAAGACAGACGTAACAAGCATTCCAGATTATATATATACATGTTGCAAATGTAGGTGTATTAGGGTGAAAGAAATTGTTAAAAATGGGGTTTAACAAGCCTATTTCTTGCTAGAAATGGGCCTGTTATTATTAACTAATAGGGTATTATATGTTTACTATGTTTCGCCCTGGAAACTACTGTGGCTAATATTGTAACACTGGGGGAAAAGGGATTGTTAGCAATTGAGCCCCATTGCTAGCAATATGCCCTATTAGGTCGACCTCCACGTGGTTCCCCCTGGAAACCATCGTGAACAATTCTTATGAATTCGTCACGATGGGCCAACTGACCTACTTCATCCTCACTTATTATCCTTCATTGGTATATACACCGGTACTGGTATATACCGATAGCGCGGGTGGGGTTACCATTTCATTATCACCCATTAAAAAAAATATATTGTAACATTTTAAATAATCCTTCTTTTTATATTCAGTTACAGTTCACGCAATTAAAACATCTTCATTTTTTTGCCTGTGTAGGTACGCAGATGTGAAATTAAACACATAATATATACCTTCAAAATTATAATATAAATATAATATATTATAATAAATAATCTGGTGTATAGGAATAATTATAGAAACACTAATTAAACAGCGTTCATTAGTAGCAAAATTATTAACTCATGTTTATAAATAACATAGTCATTAATATATAATTAAATTCTTATATCTATTTTTTTTATACAACTTTGAATGGCAAACAAACTGACGGCCCACCTGATGGAAAGTGGTAACCGTCGCCTATAGACATGAGCAGTACCATGGACATAACAGAGTATACTGTTTCGCCCATGATACCCCCCATGCGTTGCCATTCCTGAGGACTCAGATGTTATTCCTCTGTACCCTGTAAATTCACGCCATATCCCACCCTTCAAACCGAAACACAGCCATGCAAACACAACTGCTTTTCGGTAAAAACACGAATGGGACAGAGGTACCCAAGTAATCGACTTTTGTACAAAGTCTCCCTCTGGTTTTAGTCTCCCTCTAGTTTTGTTAGCATTTTATTTTGTTAGATAATGGTTCGTAAATTGTGCGTGTTTAAAAACTATTAAAGATTTAATGTATTTAATATGAAAAACAATTCCATTGTTTTATTAACCTCGGTCTCACCTCAGTTAATACAATTAAAAATAATATAGGTGTTAACCTATTTTCAAAATATCATAAAGTTGCAATATAATGGCGTCTCAGATAAACTTTTGTGGTTTTTGGCTTGTTTGTTAATTTAAAAATATTTATTACTATTTTTAATGAAATCACTTCAGCTCTGTGTAGAAAAAGTTATTATTAATAAACTATTAATTAAAAATTAAGCACAGAATAAAATTAAATTCATATAGCAATATTTTAATTCTTTAAACAAATAATTTGAATTAAAAATAGGCACAGTAGCAAATTCAAACTGGCCAGAATTTGTGGGAACATATCAAATTTACACTTACAACACTTGTAAATACAAAAAAAGTTTGTGATTTTTACAAAGACTTACCGATATCTTTATCACAATGGCAACAGTCTGTTGTTTGGTTAGTATTCAAATAGAAGGAGAACATACTCTCTGTACAACATGGTAGGCATTTGTAATTCATCCTGAAAAATAAATACTATTATATACAAAGTAAAGTAAAAATGTATATATTATCAAAGTATTTTTGTATAATATGCACAAAATTAAATTAAATTAAATTATACATAAAAAGAAAAAAAAAAAACAAAAAAGTAAGCATAAAATTTAGCATTGATTTAAAGCAAAAGGTTTTTAGCTTACATGTAGATCTATCTATTTTATTATTGTGTACTAAAATAGAAGAAATATTGAATGAGTGACATACATATCTAATAAAGAAGATCTAAGTTCCATTTTTAAAAAAACAAAAATACCCCTTTCCCTGCTCTATAAATGTCATAATAATTTTAATAAATATTTTTGCCTATTTTTAATAAACTTTGAAAGAAGAAGGTTCCTATTTGGATTTTTTTGATAATATTTATTGTCGATAAAATTTATATCAATCTAGGCTAATACAATTTAAAAAAAATTACAAAAAAAAATGTTTTTTGCGTACCTATCTAAACGAAGAGGATGGGCACACGTTACACAATTAGTAGGTCCGGGTCCCGAGCAAGACCTACAAGAGTCATGACATGGACGACAAGTCCTCGTTCTAGGTTCATAATACTGTGAACTAAGGCACTCCACACACAGTCCGCCTTCTAAAGAGAAATGCGGCGGGCAAGACGTGCAACGCTGGGGTCCGGCACCATGACAGTCCTGACAGTAATGGTGGCAACGACGACAACTGTCCTCCCATGGAAAGAAATTCTGTGGACACTCCGGTCTACATTCCCCAGCCGCTAATCTCCAATCGGGCGGGCAAGACGCGCATTGATCTCGTCTAGGACCCGTGCAGGTCTCACATGATAAGTAGCACTTTGAACACGTTCCATCGTCAGGATAATATCCAGGTGCACAAGTCGCTCGGCACGTCCCTGATTGTAAACGTAAGGCACCGGCACAAGATGTACAGTTCAATCTAGACACACACGTAGAACAGGTGTGCGGACAGGGTGAGCAACGCCCTGCCGTTTGATAATAACCTTGACTGCACTCCGCAACACATCTAAAAAGAAATGGCTGTGTTACAATTCCCTTGTTAACCATTTTCAAGGAAATAACCATCATAATAAAGAGCCATTACCTCGATCCTTGTAATAACAATGGACTTGAACAAGACAAACAGTCCCACTCATTTGATCCGCTACATTTCTCGCAAGTCGAATGACAATTTTTACAACGACCTCCCTCGTGATATTCGTCTGTAAATAAATAAAAAAAAAAACAAATTGAGAATTTCAATAAAGCCCATCGAGAGCGAATCATTGTTTACTGGAGATTACTCACTGGTGTCGCATTTGTCATTGCCATCCGGAAGACAATTTCCGCCTTTAGTAAGAATCCATTTCTCTTGGCAAACGGAACAAATGGCACACGTGCAAATTGAACATCCGATGGGACACCTAAAACAACAAGAAAGCGGTATTCTCATTTCCAAGAATTAAATTAACATCCGCAAGATAAATTAAATATAATACACTTACGATAGACATTCTCTCCTTTGTGCATCTGCGTAGAATCCAATAGGACATTTCGGAACACAGCGATTTTTATGTGCATAATCCCCTATTCGACACGATACACAATCTGTTTCACTTGGACCGTGGCAAGACTCGCAAGTTTCATGGCATGGCATACAACCAAAATCATCCTTTTGATATGTGCCTGGTGGACAAGCAGCTAAACAAGATCCGTTATAGAGAACATAGTTATGAACACAAGAAGAACACATATCGGCTTTTTCTGAGCATGTATCACAATGTTCTGCACAGGGAAAACAAGCATTGGCATCAGGATCTTCATAGTATCCATCGGGGCATTGTTGTAAACATACGGCTAAATCGATAACCAATAAATGTGCTGGAGCGCATGTTAAACAAGAATCTTGACCGGCTCCTGCACAAGTTTCACAAGACTCGTGACACGGCCAACAAACACCACCTTGATTAACAAAGCTCCTAGGTGGGCATCTTGAAACGCAAGAGTTATCCAATCTATAGTGTTTACATGCAACACATTGGGTCGGTCCTTTACCGTAACAACCCTGTGAATCACATTCCGGGTCACATAATCTTTGTACTTGTTTATCATTGGCATCCGCTAACACATTTTTTCTCTGTGCCGAAGGAATATTTTTCGGATAACTACGTCTATCGGAAATACCGAGCTCGATTTCGTTCAGAAATTGTGAATATTCTGACGCATCGTAAACATCATTTATATGGTATGTTTTTTCCTCCTGGTAAACATTGTTAGAGTTAAAATAACTTTTATTGCGTAACCGTATGGGATTTGTTGCAGTGCCATAAAATATTAACTGCCATTTTTTTAGTACTCCCGCTTGAGTCACGTGATTATTTCCGGCATTTATTATCTGAAGCGTCCATCGCCCTTCGGCATTTTCACCCCAAAAATGAACGCTCAAAAATGGCCAATCGTCAAAGTTAGAACTCGTTGCGTCATGCGTCCGTTCAAATAAAAGGGTGGACGTAGTTCCCATTGGCGACGTAAGCAGTATCCGTAAATTACCTCTTGGAAAAAAGCTTAGTGAAATTTTACACTGAACATGTTCCAAATATCTGACTTCGTTCATTGTACCACCGCAACCGTTTACATCCATATGAACTGATATAGTATAACCGAAGGAAGTTTCTATCGACTTATCTTCATTTATCTCTTGTGACTTACAAATATGTTGTGGAGGCACGGTGGACCATTGCTCAGCTAACGTGACCATTTGTGCTGCGTCCATTAAGCCATAGCCGAATTTATGGCTCACTTTTCTTTTCACACCATTCACTATCCATCCCTCTTCCTTTTCTAAAGGTTGAGATCGCGAAGTCATGACTACGAGATGTTGTATATCCCTCCATGTTAGTAAAGGATTAGCTTCTAATGCGAGCGCACATATCCCCGCGGCTAAAGGGGCTGATGCCGATGTACCTGTATGATCCACTGTACATATATGATCGGGCCTTAATTGAACATCCATGTCTACAGTAGCTACACTTTTGTCCCTACCTGGGGTCCCTGAACTATATGTTGATGCTAAAGTCGACGAACACTCTTCTAAATACCAAGGTTTATAGCCGCCTTGCGTGGCGCTCGATATAGATATCGTAAATATGCTATTAGCATATCCGTCGCAATTACACGAGTCCGTATGCCTTCCACCGTTGCCCGATGCCCATATAAAAATAGAACCTTTTCCACCCCTACCATTTGTTACTCCATTTATAAAGGCCCTGAAACAAAACACTTTTTAATGAGCTTGCCTCTAGCCGTCTCTTACAATCGCACACAATTAGACAATACCTTCTAGCTAAGGGGCCTGGGCCGTCGACAGTTTTGCCGTCATCCTCGGGTCCCCAGGAAGCACTATAAATATCTATGTGATGGGTGTTGAAACCGAGTGCTTGTGCTTCCACTGCGTCATTAACGAGCCCGTCTAACATCCTGACGCCTCCGATGCTGGCATTGTACGCTATACCGACTCCGCAATATCTATTGTAGGCGACCGCAGCGACCTCCCCGGCGCACCGGGTGCCGTGTTTATTATCGCCATTGTCCTGCGGAGTCGGGTCCGTATCGTTCCCATTTATGTCTGTCGATGCGGCAGGGTCCTACAATAGCAATTTATTACTGAGTTCGTACTTATATGCTATATTTAACATTTCAATTAATGTGAAAAAGTCTTATTTCTTTTAAATGCATTGTTTAAAAAATTATTTATAAAAACTTTTTATTAAATTTTGTAAGGAAAAAAGTACTTCAAATGCACTTGTATATTTATTACACGGATAGTAATATAAATGTATTATAGTTATTAATAATTTAATATAATATATATACATATTTAATAACAATTTACTTTAATAAAAAATTAATTAAAACAAAGTTCATGTACCGGCGTTCCAAACACAAAATATCCAACTTTAAAATATGTCATGACAATTTTTTGTGTTATGATTTTTTCCTATAAATACTAGTTTAACATATATATAAATAATACTTACATAATTTTGTGATAGATCTGGGTGATTGGGTTGTATTCCATCATCTAATATGGTGATGACCACGCCTTTCCCTGTATACCCTTTTCTCCAGGCGTAACCTACATTCATGTCCAGGCCATCTGCTGCTCCACCATTCTGAAAAAATACGCTAGCCTTAGAATTAAATTAGAAAATTATTGTACATCATATAAGCCTTTAACTGTCCATTGCTGAACTTAAGCCTTCCCCTTAGGAGGCTTTGCCACGCTTGGCAAGCGGATTGTCAACCGTGGTTAGGCTTTAGAGATATTTTAAGAAGGATATTGCTGCTCATACCTCGTCCTCCCTTAGTCGCCTCTTATGACACCCACCGGAAAAGAAAGGGTGGCCTATTCTATGCCGGGACTACACGGCTGATAAATATTAAAAATTAAGAAAATTATTGTATCCAAGTACTAAATTCTATGCAAATCTATTCAGTAGTTTTTGCGTGAAGGAGTAACAAACATCCATCTCACAAATACGTATTTATAATATCAATAACATTATAACTACTAGTTTTTTATACTGTGCTACCGCTTATAAATGTCAGAGATCAGTAAATGCCATCTACGAGTATATCTATCGATATGAATAATACTATGTGTTTACATCACAAACTATACGTTGCAGTCTATGATAGCCATCACAATTACGTAGAATTGTTTATGATTCGTACATTTCATGTAATTATGGAAGTAATAGCTTTTAACCGCGACTTTGTTCGCGTGACCTGGATATATTCACTGACTTATGTCCTTCTTCAGTCCATATGCTACATACCAGAGGGAGACTTTGTACAAAAGTCGATTGCTTGAGTACCTCTGTCCTATTCGTGTTTCAACCGTAAAGCAGTTGTTTGCATGGCTGTATTTCGGTTTGAAGGGTGGGATATGCCGTGCATTTACAGGGTACAGAGGAATAACACCTGAGTCCTCAGGAATGGCAACGCATGGGGGGTATCATGGGCGAAATAGTATACTCTGTTATGTCCATGGTATTGCTCATGTCTATAGGCGACGGTTACCACTTTCCATCAGGTGGGCTGTCAGCTTGTTTGCCATTCTAAATTGTATAAAAAAAAAAGAAAAAATAGCATACCAAATTTGATAGTAATTTGTTAAGCTGTTATAACACTAATGTAATAAACAGACAATAAATTTACATTCTCATTTATAATATTAATATAATGTAAGTAATGATTAATTGAGGTATAACAGGGTACAGAGGACACTTAAGTTCTCAAGAATGGCAACGCATGGGGGATACCATGGGCGAAACAGTATACTCTGTTAGGTCCATGGTACTACTCATGTCTATAGGCGATGGTTACCACTTTCAATCAGGTGGACCGTCAGCTTGTCTACCATTCTAAGTTACATAAAAAAAATTTACAGCTAAACTGGTTTTTCTGCGTAATTTAATATATATTTATTAATATTGTTAATATTAGTTCTTATTATTATATTTCTTACTATTTTTAATTAATTTATTTATTTTATATTTACCAATATTAACTAGCTTTTGCTCGTTACTTCGAATGCGTGGGTTTTAGACGTTTTACTCCGTCAGAGGTTGATTTTTTTTATTTCTTGCTTATTGTTTATCTACGCTATATCTTTATTATAGGATTTTTTCATATATGCATCATTTCAAAATTCTAGTTTCACTGGTTTCGTCTGTACATTGATATATGAGTTAGTCAGTCAATCAGCTTTCTTTTTTATATAAATATGAAATTGTTGTTGTATCAGCCGTCACTGCTGAACATAGCCTCCCCCGTAAGAGGGCGTTTTATCAGTAGATGAAAATATAAAATTAAGTTATTACCAAAAATCATGAAACTCCGCATATATATTTTTTAGCGTATAAACGTATGCCAAAAACTATGTATATACGTATACGTATATGTATATGTATATGTATATGTATATGTATATGTATATGTATATGTATATGTATATGTATATGTATATGTATATGTATATGTATATGTATATGTATATGTATATGTATATGTATATATATATATATATATATATATATATATATATATATATATATATATATATATATATATATATATATATATATATATATATATAAAGTATATAGAATATATGTAATTATGTATAAGTTTAAATATATTACGAGACCATGTAATAATTTTATGTACGAACCTTAACCTAGTTGTGTTTAACGACTATGCAGTAAATGGTTACAGAATATAAAAACCGGTCAGGTGAAAGTTAAACTCACGCGCTGTGAGTTCCGTACATAGATGGATAAGGAATAACATTACCTTTACTGTTTTTCTTATACGAAATAAATAATTAATAGTTATTATTATTAATATTTTAAATTCGTAAATTATAATAGGTCATAATTTTAGTAAAGTTTTTAACCAAAATATGTGGATGAAATTACTGAGTTTAATTGTAAAGGTTTTATAATATTTTCTCAAAATCCGTGCCAGTTAGAAATGTCGTTTTAATTTTTTTATAATATTCACATATGTCTTTATAGACTGTATTTATTTCAGATTTTTCTCTTCACAAAATTTGCAGATGGTGGGCGATGGATTTTCTCTCATATTTTCAATCATAAGTCAAAAACTACGTAGTATAATAATAAATAAAAATCAATTTTAGAATGTACAAATTAAGCGCTTTTATATGATAACCCACATGGACTTATTAACTTTATTTTGAAATTTTGAGTAAACTTTTTGTTAGCGAAAAAATAAATATATCATAATATTTTTTCAATTATCTCCAATACAGATTTCATTTAACAGTTACTACTTTCCATCAGGTGGGCCGTCAGCTTGTTTGCCATTGTAAGTTGCATAAAAAAAAATTAAAATATGTACGGGCAATATGTAAACTATTCCAAATTTGAAATCCATAACATTAGTAGTTGCTAAAATATAGCGCTGTTATAAACGGACGGACGGTCAAAGTCGCACTAAAAGAAGGTCCCTTTGTACCTTTTTGCCACGGAACTTGAATAATACTAGCGGCAACCCGAGACCTTACCCGCATGATTTGAATAAAATGCATATAAATATACATGAATAATATAAATTTGTTTCGGTTATTATTAATATTTAGATAGATAGATAGATAGATAAAATTTATTTGCATTATTACAGCACACAAATTACAATAAAAAAAAAACATTAATACACAGTAAAAGTTTTAAAAAAACAAAAATACAAAAACAAAATACAAAAACAAAATACATAATGAACAATCTCCTTTGTTAACATTCCTTCATTGTAATAGTAACACAAAATGGTCACAATATTTTTGCCCTCAAAACACTGATATTCTGCTGTGCATTAAAAGTTTACAATATAAATATATATATATATATATACATACATACATACATATATACATATACATACATATACATACATACACATACATACATACACACACATATATATACACACACACACACATACACATATAAATAAACTGCATTGTATGTGTCCATTATATTTGCCTCCACTTGACATTATATTCTACATAAATAAATAAATAACATATTAGATGAGGGGTAGTCATATATATTCAGGCAATAAATATTTCGGCTATAGACCTATTGGGTATTCCAATTTTTTGTTTATTAATTAAAAAGATTTTAAGTTTTTTTTTAAAAATGTGTTTACTATTAGATTTATTGGGGGTGGTATATTATTCCAGCATTTCGTAGCTTGGTAGCGGAAACTTCCCTCAAACGCCACAGTTTTATGAGGACGCCCTGCTAATAAGTAGCGCGTGGGTCTTGTACTATATTTGTCATGGAATGAATTAAATTGTAATTTAGAATATAGATATTCCGGTCAAAAGATGTCAAATACTGTACAAGCGATGAATAATGTTTAAGGTGGAATAATTATTTAAATATGGCGTTACGTGAATTCTAGGAATATTGTGACAAAATCTAGTACATGCATTTTGTACTCGCTGTATAAGACGTTGAGTTTTAGAATGCAATCGAGGTCCATACACTAAATCGCCGTAATTCAATTTAGACAAGATCAATGATTCACAAAGAGTGACACGAACTTCCTCATTCAGAAGATTTCTAATTTGATATAGAACTCTTAGACGATAAAAGCAGCTTTGAACTATTTTAGAACATATCTCATAGTTCATATTTTATTCCAAGATTCCTAGCTTCTTTAACATAGTCAATTCTTTCCCCGGAAATATATATGTCAGGATTCTGGCTAAATATAAATTTTACTTGTTTTTTAGATCCTAGAACCATGTATACAGATTTTTTGGGGTTTAACATCATTGCATTTTTAACCGACCAATCGCAATACGTTCAAGAATTTAATTTTGAAACACTTCCTGAGACATTTCCGCGAGAAGCCGGGATATAAAGTTGAACATCATCTGCATAAATATGGTATTTGCAATGTTGTATCTGTTTTATAAGATCAGCACTATATAAAATAAACAGTAATGGACCGAGTATTGTGCCCTGAGGCACTCCGCGCGTGACTTAAAGAATCAGAAAACGCAGGTCTACCAGCTCTCCCCAAATTTAACAGTCTGTCTACGATTATCGAGAAAACTCGTAAACCATCCGACTGACTGTTCGTCCAAACCGTAAAATGTCAATTTTGCCAGAAGTAGTGGAATACTGATACTGTCAAAAGCACGAGAGTAATCTAATAATGCTAGAAGTGATCCCTCTCCACTATCTTGACTCGTAAGAATATTGTCAACGACGTCCAATAAAGCGGAAACTGTACCTCTACCTTTGCGAAAGCCGGATTGCATCGCTGGTAAGATACAATTTTCCTCAACATACTTAGACAACTGGGTGTAAATAAATATTTTCGACAAGTATGGAAGAACATATACGCAAATCTTTTAGTTCTACTGGATTATCTACTTTCGGTATAGGAGTGACAATAGCCGATTTCCATAATTCGGGCACCGCGCTTGTTACGATAGACTTATTAATTATAGCCGTTATTATCGACAGAGTACAGAGACAGGGTACAGAGGAATAACATCTGAGTCCTCAGGAATGGCAACGCATGGGGGGTATCATGGGCGAAACAGTATACTCTGTTATGTCCATGGTAC